ATGAGGCCCTAGCACAGTACTGGGGGAAAAAAAGTGCAAAGGTGAACTTCACAACAGTATGAATGTACTTAACACTGGTGAACTGTCCACGTAAGAAGGGTTAAGATGGTCTCAGACTTATTGGAGGGCCCAGAGCTCTGCCTGTCTGTGCCACCAATACTATCTCCATCGGAGCTGGCCCCACTCCCTAGCCAGTGGTTATTCTCAAGAGATCCCTGATCTGCCCGCAGCCTAAGGGGACTTGATCTCTCCTAGAAGGTGAACCTCAGAGATGGGAGGGAAACTTGGGGTAGAGGGTGACTCATCATGGGATCCCCAGTCTTTCTGCTGCCACCCAGGCCCAGTCCTGCCCAGTTGCCTTGGTGTGTGGGTGCTTGGATGTGTGTGTACCTGTGCGTGTGTTTCAGAGCCCAGCCCCAAACTGACCTCACAATCTTCCTCAATCAGATTTTACTCAACAAATCCTCCTGGACACCCACTTGGTCTTAAGTCTGTGTTGGGTAATTCTGGATACCCCCCAAAGACTCAGCATCTCCTACTCTGGGGGAGACAGATCTACACAGAGACTCAAAGCCCTGAAAAACACCAGCCTGGATCAAAGCGAGGCACCCCAGGCCAGGGAGCCCAGAAGCAATCAGTCATGAAGTCTTCTGGAGAGGAGTCTCCTCCAGAAAGTCACCAAGCCCAAATAGACCCTAAGAGAAATGGCTGCTGCCTGGGACATGTCCTTGGCTCAAATCCAGCGCAGCTTCTCCAATTCTCTTTTTTCAGTGCTGAGGATGGAACCCAGAACCTTCTGCATGGTAAGCCAGGGCTCTACCGCTATGGTATACCCACAGTCCAAGTTTTAAAAGGAAATTAAGGCTAGCCAAACGCAGTGGTGCACGTCTGTGATCCCAGTTTCTCAGGAGGTTAAGACAGGAGGTTGACAAGTTCAAATCCAGCCCCTGCAAAAGCGAGGTGCTAAGTAACTCAGTGAGGCCCTGTCTCTAAATAAAATACAAAATAGGGCTGGGGATGGGGCTCAGTGGTCGAGTGCCCCCGAGTTCAATCCCTGGTACCAAAAAAAAAAAAAAAAAAAGGAAATTAGGGCTGCCTGTCTGGCTGGCCCATGAATTTCTGAATTTGCTCTGAGGCCAATCTGCAAACATCTCCCCTTCATAATTACTCTGGCCATGATCACCCCTGGGCTGGTGCTTTGGAAGTATCAGGGAATAATGAAAACAAGTGTCAGGTTTGGAGCCCTCTCAGTCCCTGGGTTCTAACTGTGTGACCTTAGGCAACTTACATAACCTTTCTGAGCTTCCTTAATGGGTAAAATGGGGGTAAATGGGTAAGGTTAGATAAAACCATCAGGGTCCCCCCACAACCCCTGTCAGTCGGGAGACAGAGGAGCAAACCCAGAGTTCTTGATGCTGAATCAAGATTATTCCCAAATTCAGTGGACCCAACGTGGAGAGCTCATGTAAGAGCCAGCCCCTCGGCCTCTTGGGTTCCCAGGCCTGGTGGCCATACGGCCAGAACTAGCACAAGACAAGTGAGCTGAAAGATGAAATCAGAATTCCTGATTTTTCCTTTTGTCTCTGGTTCCAACATGTCTCAGCACAGAACTGTAACCGATCCTGTTTTATTTAAAATCTGAATATTTTATTTATCATTGAATCTTTGCATCCACTTTGATCTTTAAAGACATTGCATTCAAAATTTATTTTTCCTCAAGAAAATGAGAAGAAAAGTCACAGATCAGGAGAAAATACCAGCAAAAGACAAATATGATAAAGGACTTGTAAGGTCAGGCACCGGTGACCAAAAGGAGGCAGATTAACAGCTGCTGAACAAGGCTTCATTGAGATCAGCTCCCGGGGAGACCCTCCAGACCGACAGATTGGGTCCAGGAGAATCACACCCAGGCTCAGCCGGATTGGAATTTTATTGGGCCTAGGACAGGAAGGGAAGGTTTGGGACAGGAAAGGGAGTTTTTTAGAGGTCCTTGTCCTCCTGGGGTTGGTTGGGGGATCTTGGTGAGATCTTTGTCCTTCCAGGATTGATCAGGAGACTCCGTTGATTGACAGGTCGCCTGGTGCTTTGTTCCTTAGCCACCTCAAACCGACCTAACGGGACTGGGATCTAAAATACACCAAGGGCTCTTGAACCTTAACAATAGAAATTAAAAAATAAATAAATAAGCAAGCTGATTTAAAAATAGGCCAAAGGTCTGGGCAGACCCCCCCTCTCCAAATATATATACATATAAATAAGCATATGGAAAGATGCCCCACATAGTGTCATCTGGGAAATGCAAATTTTAAAAATGAGATACTGTACAGACCTATTAGAAGGGCCAAAATCCAGAACACTGAATGCTGGTGCAGATGGCGATCAAGAGGAACTCCCATTCACTGCTGCAAAATGAGGCAGCCTGGAAATTTCTTTGGAAGATACCTTGGCAGTTTCTTGCAGAAGTAAACATCCTCTCATACAATCCAGTAATCACTCCCTGTCCCACTCCGAGGTGTTAAAAATTTAAGTTCAATTTGTGTACACTTTGTGCACACCGATGTTTATAGCAACCTCGTTCATTATTGCCAGTGCTTGAAAGCAACCAAAAAACCCTTCGGTAAGTGAACAAACAGTGGTACATCCAAATGATGGAATATTATTCAGAACTTAAAAAAGGGAAAGAAAATAAAGTGAGCTGTAGAGTCACGGAAAGACAAGCATGAACCTTAAATGCAAATGACTCGGTTTAAAGAAGCCTGTGCTGGATGATTCCAACTGTGTGATGTTCTGGAAAAGGCAAAATTGGGGGTTAGGTATTTTTGTGGGGTTGTTTATTTGTTTGCTTGTTTTGGTACCAGGGATTGAACCCAGAGATGCATAATCACTGAGCCACATCCCCAGTCCAAAAAAGCATGGGGAAAAGAAAATAATTAAATGGAGTACTAGAGATTTTTAGGTCAGTGAAGCACTCGGTATGACATTATGATGGTGGATATGTGTCATTAGTGCTTGTCCAATTTCATAGAAGTCACAACACCAAGAGCAAACCCTGATGTAGACTATGGATTTTGGGTGATGGCAAGTGTCATGTAAGTCACCGACTGTAGCAGACGTCCCACTCTGGTGGGAGATGTTGACAGTGGGGGAGGTTGTGCATGTGTGGGAGGGAGTTAAGGGAAATCTCTGTGCCTGATGCACCATTTTGCTATGAACCTAAAACTTCTCTTTGAAAAATGATTAGTCTTTCTGAGCACAGAGGCACAGGCCTGTTACACCCAGCGGCTCCGGAGGCTGAGGCAAATGGATGGCTAGTTCAAGGCCAGTCTGGGCAATGAGAGGGACCCTCTCTCAAAATGAAAAATAAAAAGGGTTTGGGGTGTAACTCAGTGGTAAAGCATCCCTGGATTCAATTCTTAGTAATGGAGAAAATCATCTTAAAAATTAATTCATCTTGATGACTGAGTTTTCAACTGCACCCAAGGAAGATGTCTTACCCTAGTACTGTCCCAGGGTGATTTGCAGCCCACATCTTCACTTGGCTGTACCAGGCAGAGCCCTCCCATCCTCCAAATCCTTGGAACATGAGGCTTGAAGGAGGATATTGCTTCCCTGGGGAGTGGACGCCCTTCACTCAATCCTTTAGCCTCCCCACTGTCTGCCCAGCTTAGTGCTGAGTGATGCTGCGTCCCCAGGAAGAGGTTAACTGATAACTGCAGATCTCAGGGGTGACTCCCTGGGGAATTCCAGGCCTGGGTCAGTCTGGGCTTTTCCAGGCTCGCCCAGGGCCTGCCTCATACTAAATCCCCAGCCCCGTGGGATTCCTAGAAACTCCTAGGGCAGGTTTTGGGGTGGGAAGCAATTTAATTACGTAGTCAGCAGTTCAACCTCATCAAGCCCGCCCCGTGTAAGGGCAGAATAAATGGGAGATGAGCTGATTTGTTAGGACACAGCCATGAGCACCTAGGGAAGAAGAAGGATCCTGCACTGTCAATGCAGGTAAGCCCATAAACCAGCTCCTCGGACAAAACCAGCTCTCAGCTACATCGGGTGTCTTGGGATCAGGGGCTGAATTGGGTAAGAGTTAACATCACCATGGTCCCCAGGGACTTGGAGCAAGCCTCGGGGTAAAATAATTCTCAGTTCCTGCACTCATCCTTTGCCTGGGCCCAGACTTGGAGCCGGGGGTCAAGGCCAGCCTGGGCTTCTCGGTGCTTGCTCTAGTTTGTATCTAAAGCATTCCCCCCCAAAACCCATGTATAGAAGCCTTGGTTCCCAGCCTGTGGCACTATTGGGAAATGGTGGGACCTCTCAGAGGGGGCACCTAGTGAGAGGAGATCAGCTCATAGAGCGTACCCTGTGGAATACGGGCTCCCTGGCACCTTCTGTCTCTCTTTTTGCTTCCAAGCTGCCACGAGGTGGGCAACTCCCTCTGCCAAGTGCTCCTTCCATGATGGGCTGCCTGGCCACAGGCCCCACAGCCGTCCTCACTGCTCTGGACAACTGATCAGGGACTACACCCTCCAAAACAGAGATCCAAAATAAACCTTTATTCCCCATTACTCGATGATCTCAGTATTTTGTCACAGTGACAAAAACCTAGTTAGAAAAACCCTCTCTCCCAGCACAGCCAGTTTTAGCAGGCAACAGAGAGTCCCTCTGTGGCCGGCAGCAGCTACAGAGCTGTCACTGCTGGCAGTGGGCAGGGCTTGCTGGATTGGCCTCCGCCGATCTCTCTCAACACTGGGCAGAGTTTGCAGGAGTCAGAACTACCTGGTCTTCAGGCCCCTCTTGGTAGAGGCCTGGCTTACTGACCCTTAATATCAGCTTGGGAGGGACAGGACAGGAAGAGCCCTCGGGGCCCAGATGACTTTGATCCAGAACACTCTGCTCCCGTGTCCCCACTGTCTCCCACGCTCCAGCTCTGCAAGGGGGCGGCCGTGTCATTCACCACTGGACTTTGACAGAGGCCAAAGGCTCTGCTTGGTTGTCCATGCCTATCACCTTCCAGCACTGCCGAGTCCTTTGCTAAGGTCAACTGGGTATGTCCCCTGGAAGCTGGAGCCCCAAGATGACAGCCCAGGGTGTCCTCTGGATCCTGCTTGCATTTCTGGTGTGGTCTAAGCCAGGAACAGGTAAGTCAGAAGCACAGACCCCCGGCCAGGACTCTCAGCTCTGAAGAAGTAGAGGGTAGCCCTTTCTTTATTGGTGCCTGCATGGGGTGAAGCCCAAGAGCACAGGAAGCTCTGGATCTCAAGGATCCTTCAATCTGGCAACTTAGATGTTCCCAACCCACAAGTCAAGATAGGGATAGGGAGAAAGGCCTGGGAACTGGGAAGTAAAAACTAGGAAAAGCTTCCCGGAGGACAAGAGTCATAAAACTAGGATTTGGGGTCATGCTGCTGGTCCCCAAGGCATCAAACCTAGAACAAAATAACAGAGGAATTACAGAATGGACTATCTGGACAAAATCCAGGATTCTAGACAGCAGAGCATGGGGATTAAAATTCTGGGCTTGGAGCTGGGGTAGAGCTCAGTATTTGAGTGCTTTCCTAGCATGCACAGGCCCTGGGTATGAGGTGAACTTGCTGGATTCAAATCCTGCCTCTGCCACTTCCTAGCTCTGTGACCTTAGGTAGTTAACTTACCTTCTGTACACTTCAGGCACCTCATCTGTAAAAGGGAGCTAATAAGACCTATCTCATAGCCTTGTGAAGATTAAGTGAGTTATATAAGTCACCTAGCATGGTTCTGGTAAATGTTTAATAAACACTGACAATTACCCAACAACCCACTCCTCACCCAGCTCTGGGTCAGGTCACCTAGCACTTCTAGTTTCTAAGTTTACCCACCCAAAAAAGGCACATATCCACCTGTTCCTCCCTTGGGCATCTTGGAAGATACCCTTCCCTTAAAAATTCCCTAACTTCAATCTGTTACCCGAGACTGTCCATCTTTCCCTCTAGATATATGGGGACACTCCTGGGTCCTGTATATCGCACTGCCACCACCCTGCCATCAACCACCTTCAATACTCACCTCTGCACTCTCCCCTTTCTGTATTCTAGCATCCTAAGAATCAATCGTCACATGGAAGCCAAAGGAATAATCTTAGGACGCCAGCTGGGCCGTATCTCTCTCTGGCTTATAATTTTGCCATAGCTCAACCATGCTCAGAGTCCGAGCCCCTCAACCAGCGGGCAACAGTCTCTGTGCCTCAGTTTCCTCCTCTACCTAGAGACAGGGCTGGGAGCCATACTGTTATCATCAGAGGGAGCACTAGCACGGGCATTGGGAAGACATGGAACAGCAGGGGGACCCTCGGGGACAGGTGAGGCTGGATGGCTGAGCTGATGCACTCTCTCCTCCCACAGCCTCCCTGCCCCTGGTCATGGATTCTGTCATCCAGGTCCTGGCTGAGCTGGAGCAGAAGGCGCCAGTGACGGAAGTCAGTCTAACTGCCTCTGCACGGCTGCTGTCAGCCCAGGACTCTGGCACCTCCAATCCCCTTCACCACTTCCTGCTTGAGACACCAAGTCACAAAGCTGCTGAACTGGATGCCCACCCACTGAGTCCGGAGCTTCGAGGCCTGATGAAGATAGTGGCCCAACACGAGATACGGGGAGGGCAGGAACACGGGGTGGTGCTGGCCCCTGATGGCTCCACCGTGGCTGTGAAGCCTTTGCTGGCGGGGCTGGAAGCTGGACTGCAGGGGCGCAGGGTTGTCAACTTGCCCTTGGACAGCCCAGCCACCCCTTGGGATGCTGAAGCCAACCCTCCAGGACGCAGGGATGCTTCTCCAGAGGGAACCTCTGCAGATGCTGGAGCTGCCTCTTCAGATACTGAAGCCACCTTACCAAACGACAAAGCCAAGTCCCCCACCACTGTGGACAGACTCCTGGCAGTCACCCTCGCAGCAGATCTAGGCCTGACTTTCCTCCAGCCTCCCCAGACCCAGAGCCATCCAGGCCTGGGGACAGAGGGCTGCTGGGACCAGCTCTCTGACCCCCAGATCTTCACGCTGCTGGACCCCAAGGCATCAATGCTCACGGTGGCCTTTCTCAATGGGGCACTGGATGGGGCCCTCCTTGGAGACTACCTGAGCCGAATCCCTGAGCCTCGGCCACCCCTCAGTCACCTGCTGAGCCAATACTATGGAGCAGGGGTGGCTGGAGACCCAGGCTTCCGCAGCAACTTCCGAAGGCAGAATGGGGCTGCTCTCACTTCAGCCTCCACCTTGGCCCAGCAGGTGTGGGGGACCCTTGTCCTGCTACAGAGACTGAAGCCGGCACACACCCAGCTGCAAAACGTGAGCCAAGAACAGCTGGCCCAGGTGGCCACCTATGCTGCCAAGGAGTTCACCGAGGCCTTCTTGGGTGAGAAGTTCCCCTACCCTAGTGACCCTCCTCACAGATACAGACACTCCCAGCCCCATGGTCAGGGGCATCTGGGGCTAAGGGAGTCTAGAGGCAATGATAAGGGCTCTGGGTGGGGGGCCAGGACGGGTGAGGAAATGGTAAAGTTGGGCTTCAAAAGATGAATAGGAGTTCATCTGATTTTTTTACAAAAGGAAGAGGACTCTGATACTTTCTGTTACTGAAAAAACAAACCCTTGAGATAAAGAAACTTAAAAGAAGAATGGTTCATTTTGGCTCACAGTTTTGGAGGTTTCAATGCATGGTGGGTTAACCCATTGTTTCTGGCCTGTAGCAAAGCAGTTCATTATGGTAGAAGTGTCAAGTGACAGAGGAAGCTTCTCTCCTCATGGCAGCTATAAGCAAAGAGAGACTAGGGACAAGGTTCTCATTATCCCCTTGGAGAGCAGGCCCCCAATCACTTAACTTAATCCCATTAGGCCCCACCTCTAAATAGCACCAAGCTGATGACAAGGCTGTTAATACATGGGCCTCTGGGGACATTCCAGATTCAAACAGTAGTAAGGGCATTCCAGGAAATGGGTTCAGCAAATGCATAGAAGTTCAAGTGGGATTTCACCCAGTTTCTCCTGTGCACCTTTAGGTGAGATACTTCACTTCTCTGAACCTATATTCTTAAATAAAATCTGATAAGCCATTGCAACCTCTTGGATTTGCTGGTTGGTTAAGAAGTAGCACATGCCGGGCATGGTGACGCACTCCTGTTATCCCCGTGTCTTGGGAGACTGAGGCAGGAGGATTTTTGAGTTCAAAGCCAGCCTCAGCAACTTAGGCCCTGAGCAACTTATGGAGACCTTGTCTCCAAACATTAAAAAAAAAAAAAAAAAATTGGGGCTGAGAATGTGGCTCAGTGGTTAAGGGCCCCTGGTTTCAATCCCTGGTACTGAAAAAAGAAAGAAAGAAAGAAAGAAAGAAAGAAAGAAAGAAAGAAAGAAAGAAAGAAAG